ACATGATATGGGAATGCATCACCATATAATGATATGATCAAGTTCATAAAATAAAACTATCATTGGATACATTTTTTCATCGTATTAACTTATAAATAACCTACATATTTCGAAAATTAGTTTTAAGTTTCAGTACGTGATATACTAAATTAAAAAATAGTCATTATGGATTACCTCAAATAGGTTCATGGTTTCAATTAACCTCCTCAATATTTCCTTTTTGTTTCACAGATTATATTTGATGTAAACTTAGAAATACAATGCAGCAAAAAACTTCTTACATTTCTTTATCAAAAACTATAAGATTTGGTCTATGGAAACTTGATCTATGGAAACGTGCACCACTATATATGAGTATAATAAAATAGATTATGAGTCTATGGACACATGAATGATGTTATCATGCAAACATTTGATTTAACACATTTGAGCCTCTTAAGTTAAAATATCAAAATTGGGTAATGCAAGTACGCGTTATAGCTTAAAGAAAACCAATACAATGAATTTGAGATAGCTTTTTGCCAGTGGAAAGAAAAATAATAACGATGCTCGATCAAATGTATAATTACTTAATAAGCACTCCACCTTCAACTATAAATACCCTATCAAGCTTTTCTTCTATCTTCACATATCTTTTGTAATACCATTTCTATTTTCATTCACTTGCTAAGAATAATTAAAAAAAAGGTTTACAATAGATAGCAATATGAAGCAATCTCACGTTTTGCTTCTTATACTTGTTCAAGTCATTTTCCTTTTGCCTCTTCTTTGTTTATCCGATGACTATGTTAGCTCTAGAGCTACTTATTACGGCAGTCCCGATTGCAAAGCAAATCCTCGTACGTATTTCAAATTTTATTACCTTGATTATTTCATTTTTATATTCTTAATTAAGCATGATTGGTAAAGCCAAATTAATAGGAACATCTCAATATCGTTAGCAAGCCTAACTACTAATTTAGTCAATGTACATATTATCTACGTACGTATAGGTGTATCTAAATTCCAAATATATAATGAAGATGGTTCAATTAAATGTCCATGTATCTGATTTGAGTATAACATTAGTAATTAATGATATTTTTCAAGATTCCGTTTTGCATGGAAAAATGTCTAGAAATGTTAGAAATTCTATATCCGAAGTGAAATGTGACCTAAAGTACGTATTACATAAAAAATATTATCAAATCCATTCATTGCTACTTATTAAATGAAAAAAATGATTGATGAGAATATGGATAATTAATCATGAAGGAGGAGCATGTGGTTATGGAGAATTTGGAAGAGACATCAATAATGGTGAAGTGAGTGGTGTTTCATCGCGACTATGGAACAATGGAACTGGCTGTGGTGCTTGTTACCAGGTTTTAATTAATAAGATTTTAGTTTATCTCATTAAAATTTCATCAATATAATATTACTATGTCATTACTAAGCTTTACATTATTAACCATTAATTATGAAAAAGGTGAGGTGCAAAATACCTCCACACTGCAACGAGGAAGGAGTATACGTAGTAGCTACGGACTATGGTGAAGGACATGGTACGGACTTCGTATTTAGCCCTAAGGCGTACGGACGTATGGCGCGACCGGGAACAGAGGATCAGCTCTATTCTTTTGGTGTGGTCGAAGTTGAGTACAAAAGGGTCGCTTGCCGGTATGGAGGGTATAATCTGGTGTATAAGGTCCATGAAAAAAGCTACAATCCTCATTATCTTGCCATCCTTGTCTTGTACGTTGGTGGTGTCAATGACATCCTCGCCGTTGAAGTTTGGCAGGTAAATTAAACAAAGATTATAAAAGAGAAAATGCAATGATTTTGTTATGATCAAACTACTTTATTGATATGGCATATTCATATAACTTCAGAAATATAGTCTAAATTTGACCTAGAATCTTTATTAAGAAGATATAGTCTATGTATGGAATATGTTAATCTAAGGTTGGTGGCTATGTATAATTCAATTGGTTATTCATGATAATTACTCCATTTCAAAATCACTAATTTTAGCTATGGTTCAACTTATTTAATAGAAAATGTTGCAATGTTTCTTAGTTATGGTTCTAGTCTTTCTAGCTTTAGTTCCAACACTTTTCTACAATTTAAAAAATACAACACTCACTAG